CGGGCGGCCGGTGTTTGCTCAACCCCGAGCGCCCGCGAGGGGGAGGGGAGGTAGCTGGTCGCGGGCTAGGGGGTAGCAAGGTGGAGGAGCGGGGGCAGGGAAAAGGGTGGGTATCTCTCGAGCTGCTTGTTTGCGTGCCTGCCCCGGTGTAAGACAACTGGGAGCCTAAACTCTATGAATCACCCGGAGTTGCTGGAGCGATAAACCTCAGGCTGGTTCCTCCCCTCGCACACCGGCTTCTCTGACTCCAGGAGGGAATGTTTGCTTAGCGGCTGGAGCTGGCGGAGAGGCCCTGGTTCTCTAGAACCCTGTATCCCTTCCTGGCCTTGCCTTCACGGGCTGGTCTGCGGTGGCGGAGACTGAATTGTTTCACGTCTCTTCAAGAAGAGGGGCGCAGTGCTGCTGCTGATTTGTTCCTCACTCTTGGGCTCCCTCCCGTAGCTCCACCCCCCCACCCTAAGATTCAGAGGCCCCCATACCAGGGAGGCAAACGCTTGTAGGGTCCAAGCAGTTGGGTGCCCACGCTAGAAAGGCAAACGGCGGGTCAGACCTAAGCGAGGGGCATCCATGACTCTGGGCTGGGACTAGTTCTCATGAACCAGGCGACCAGTGCTGAACACAGTGTGTGGGGAGGGGCTGCTCATTAGCATATGTGAAAAGCCAGATAAGAGCTAGAGGAAGGTGGAAAGGAAATAGTCTCCGAGACTGCTTGTGACCTTAAGAAGCCAAAGATGAATTGTGCATCTGACAGGTGTGTTTCAATTTATTTTCAAGCTTGGGGACTCGCTTTTCCGTACCTAGATTCTCCAAAAAGGCAACTCTTCGTCCCTCCCTCCCCACCCAGGCAGGGAAAAGGCTGGGGCATGTGAGGCCTGGGCACCCCAGCAGTGGAGCCCTCCCACCGCCAGCCCTGCATAGTAGATGGCAGTGGAAACGTAGGGAGGTTTCCTGAGAGCTGTTTCTCTTTTTGTGTTCAATCCATCTCACTTCTGGGGCAAGATCTGCCTTTAAAGGACAAAGCAAGTCCTTTGGGGCAGATGACATGGGCTTCAGCCTTCAGGGTCCCTGTTGGCCTCTGCTCTAATCCCACGGGCCTGTGCTGGTTCAGAGTAGGGAGGCAAGAGTTGGAGAAGGCATGAGACCCCTCCACCATGAGTCGGACCCTGGTGGGGGCTGTGGACACAGCGAACCTGTGACGCTAGAAGGAAAGTTTCGTGGGAGGTGGCTTTGCTTTCGGAAAAACTCCAGCCACAGGGTGCTCTGTGCCCCCAAATGTCCTTCACCTTAATTTAATACTCCAGTAGATGTAGAACCCATTGCGAACTCCGTTTTCACCAAAAAACTACACTCTGAGAAGTGTTCAAAGAGTGCTACTGTTCAAAGAGATCTCGGGGCCCAGCACAGTGACTCACGCCTGTAAACCCAGCGTTTTGGGAGTCCTGGGTGGGAGGATCGCTTGAGCCCAGGAGTTGGAGACCAGCCTGGGCAACAAAGACTTCATCTCTATTGAAACAAACAAACAAAAAAGAAAATGATATGGGGTCTCACTGTGTTGCTCAGGCTGGTCTCGAACTCTTGAGCTCAAGCGATCTTTCTGCCTTGGCCTCCCAAAGTGCTGGGATTACAGGTATGAGCCACTGTGCTCAGCCTATTTAATTTTTTTTTTAATATATGAAATAAAAGGGAAGAAAAAGATTCTGGATTGCGGATAAGCATGTCTGTGTCCACCACCCAACTACCTCCACCCCCACCTGAGTTGGGTTCCTACTGGCAGAGTGAGAAACCACCTTTGTTCGTTGGAAAGCTTCCTTCAGAGATGTCTGAGGTCTTGACAAGGTCCAGGGGTGAGAACACCTGTGCCACCTGCCGGCTGTGTGACTTGGGTGAGTGGTCTTATTTCTCTGAGCCCTGCTTTCCTCAACTGTAAAACTGGATGATATCACCCCCAGAATGAAGCTGTGTCTGGAATGTTCCTCACACAAGCCAGGTGCTCACAGGGAGCCAGCGATCAGCCTCCGCTTTCCTGGTGTGATTGTCATTCCCTCTAAGCCTTGACAGGTCTACCAGTTTTTATTTATAATTTAAATTTTAATTAATTAATTAATTATTTTTGAAACAGGATCTCACTCTGTCACCCCGGCTGGAGTGCAGTATTGCGATCTCGGCTCAGGGCAGCCTCAACTTCCCAGGCCCAAGTAACCCTCCTGCCTCAGCCTCTCGAGTAGCTGGGACTATAGGAGTGCATCGTCATGCATGGCTAATTTTTGTATTTTTTGTAGAGATGGGGTCTCACTATGTTGCCCAGGCTGGTCTGGAACTCCTGGGCTCAAGCAATCCTCCCTCCCTCACCTCCCAAAGTGCTGGGATTACAGGCATGAGCCACCGCGCCTGGCCTAATGGTTTTTAACCCCAACTCTTGCAGAAGCTGGCATTCTTTCTGTTCTGTTTCACCGTGATTGGAATAGCTTTGCCATGCCATGCTCTGAGGCTTCACCTGTGATGTTCCTTCCACCTCGAACATTTTATGCCTCTCACCCTCCTTTTTCTGTGTGAATAAAAAGTTTTTAAAAATCTCCCCTGCCCCAAAGCTTAGCTCCAGTGTTCCTTCCTTTGCGAAACAATCCACACCTTCCCACGAAAGACCCATTGTGAGTTGCCCTTTTTACCCACAGCCTGTTACGCATTCATTTATTTATCATTTATCCTAGTGTATCATAATTAGCCTTCTAAATTGGTTTTTTCTCCAATTACACTGTGCCCTTCTAGAGAGCCAGGGACACGTCTCACTCATCTTGTTTTCCCTGGCATCTGGCACTCAGACGGGTGTGGGTAAATGTTTTCAGTAAATGCTTGTAGAATATCCGTTATTCTGTGGCTGGCCACGGCTGATCTTCCCCTCATACCAGCAGCCTTGCAAACAGCACCACCCCTACCCTGCCTCCCGTACCCCACTTTCTGGGAAGCAGGCAAGCCCCAGTGCCTACTGGAGAAGTCGCCTCCCCTGGGGCTGCAATGCCCTGCATCAGAGGTGAGGGTAGGAGGCTCTGGCACCCCGGCTTGGGGCATGGAGGGGCCTATCCAGAGAGAGCCAAAGGTCAGTTGTGTTGTTTCGAGGGACTTCCCAGTTTGCCTGGGCAGCAGGAATTCTGGATTGCAGTCTCAGCCTGCAGAATCTCCAACAGGAGCCATTTCCTCCTCCACAGAGTCGAAGGCCTGCTCCCTCTGCCCGGGGAGTGGAGGGCCCCAGGTCGAACAGCCAGGCCCCAGTGGGGGAGGAATAGTCCCTCGCGGAGCTGAGGGTGGGGCTCCTGCTTCCTGACAAGTTGGGGCCTGGAATCCTGTGCTAGGTGGCTGGGTGCCCTGCAACCCACAGCCGGCTGCTGGTAAACAGTTAGCATTTCACCTCTCCTTGCTCCCAGGCTCATATTAACTGGTTACTGCCCCGACTGCAGTGTCTGGCCAAATCTCTTTTTCTCGTAGGCTCATAGGACTTTGTGTGTGGAGCAGCGGGAACTACCCAGTTTTTTTAAAGACTTTGGTCCCATCGGGGCCCGTTAAGAAGCAGAAAACCAGGGCCAGGGAGCAGGCGAGTGAAACAGTCACTCACCACAACCGGCTGCCCATGGGTGATCGCTCTGGAAGTGCACCCGGAAGCAGGCCTTGGGCAGAGGCCACCGGAATGTCACCTGATGCTGAACCCTCCCCCATGGCTGCAAAATCTGCTCCTCCCTCATCCCCCTCCCTGCCCAGGGCTCAGTAGCCACTAACCAACTCCCTGTGGAAGGAGAGAACAGGGGCTCCTGAGCTGCTTTGATCTGGTCAGCCTCCACCCTCAGACTGAGCCAATCCTGAGAGCCAGACCTCAAGGCCAAGGGTCCAGGGATCCAGGCCACTCAGTCTGCCCACCTCTATCAAAATCAAAACGGAAACGTGTAGCCAGCCCTGCAATTCGTTCCCCTGCCTTCAGGAAGCATCTCACCCCAATCTGTGAGCAGGTCAGGGGGAAGCATTCCTTCTGCCTTGCTGCAGTGGCTACAGCAGCCCCCAGACTGATGGCCTCTGGTGGCAGTCTTCCTCCAGTCACCCTGCAAACCCCCATCCAGGGCAGGACCTTCACTGACTTCACCCCAACACCTTTCACTCCTAACACCTTCACTGGCTCCTGGTGCCTTTATGTGAAAGTCCAGGCTCCCTTGCCCGGCATTCAAGGCCTCTGCAACCTGTAGGTACCCTAACCTTGGCTCCAGCCTCCTCTCCTTCCTGTTCCCCCACGGGAAATTGTCACTCCAGCCTGAGAAGCCTGCTGTGAGTCTGCCTCGCCCCCGCACTTGCCTTCCTGTGACTTCGCTCACATGTCCTGTATTCTCAATCCAGGATGCCTCTCTCCTCCTCTCCACCCCTTGATTCCATCCCCCGTTAAAACCCTTGGCTCCTCCCAGAAGCTTTTGCTGGTGCCCGCCACCCCGTAGTCCTCTTCCTCCCTCTGCTCTCCTGGGATCCCACCACTGGCGTGCATTTGTTACTCTTACATGGCTCTGCCTTTTATTTTATTTTATTTTTTTTGAGATGGAGTCTTACTCTGTTGCCCAGGCTAGAGTACAGTGGTTTGATCTTGGCTCACTGCAACCTCTGCCTCCTGGGTTCAGGTGATTCTCCTGCCTCAGCCTCCCGAGTTGCTGGGATTACAGGCGCCCGCCACCACACCCAGCTAATTTATATTTATTTATTTATTTATTTATTTATTTATTTATTTATTTATTTGTATTTT